TAGGCCAGGGTTTGACTTCGTGTGGATGGGGCCTTAGTTACAAGGCTTGGCTAACTGCATGCAGCGAGGCTAATGCTTTATTCTGCTGCCTTGACTGTCTGCCTCCTTTTTCAAACATCAGGATCTGACCCAGCATGGATGAAGACACCTAGGACTGATTTAAAGCACTTTTTAGAAATGAAAAAGAAGCATGAACAATCTGGGATAATAATATATTATTAATTATAATTTTTCTAGATGTTTGTTCATTTGCATAGTTGCTCTTAAATAAACACATTCTCAGAAAATAGTTTTGTACGGTAATATATTGTAAAAGGTAAAGGTGACTAATAGCTTCTCCATTATTAAACTGGTACATTATCTCCTTAGGTTTAAAAAACAATATTTGTTCCCATGTAAAACACAGATTTTCCTTCACAAAGCCTCAGAAGGGCAAGATTTAAAAAAGTAGTCCTGTTGTTGATGTTATGTTTTGTTTTTACATTGTGCTTTTATAATATTTTTTGTTGTTGGCAACAAAAAATACAAAAAAAAACTCCACCAGCCGCCACTGGTCCCTATTAATTCATGACGGAAGTGGTTGTTCCATAATAATACAGGTAATAAAAACAAATGTTTAACAGTTATTGGAGCCTTTCTCATGAATATATAGTTCTATATGTGTAACTAAACCTTAAAGTATAATAATGTACATTTATAAAGTTGGAGAAAATGTTTAGGGAAAGTCATGTGCTTCTGTAACCCAGACGGTGCTTTTGTTACGGTACATTTTTAAATTTGACGGTGACTGATCAGATCTTCCTCCATGTCCCTTCCTCACCACTTTAGTCACACATCCTTTATTTCAGTATGATTACACAACTGTCAGCTAGCCTAGAATCTATAGCCTAACCTATTTGGATGTGCTGTGTGAATAAATATCTGCTGTAAATGAGTCAGTGGATGCTCGTCATGTGTTTGACTTTCTATGTTCGATTAAATGTGAAATATTCTAATTAACTTCTAAACTATACCTAAATAGAAACTGCTAACAATTTCCTCCTCTAGAAAACAACTTGAGCTGCTATTCTCACCGCATTAACGATCAGAGACACTCATGTTATTAGAATTTAACTTAAAACTCAACATTTAACGTTGCTCGGCGAATCTTCTGCATCAAAATGATCGATGTAGATGACATGGAACATGGATGAGTCGATCTTAAATCAACCTTTATTCTTCAGATGCACAAAGCAGGAAATGTTCTTCCTGAAAGCTTTACAAGGTTTTCATAAAAATTATTTTATGAAAGCATGATTTAAATGAACAAATAAACACTTTAAATAGAACATAAATTCCACCTCTACAGGTTTAGCTTAAAACTCCCCTAATATCGTTTATATTTGGAGCACTTTTGCAAACTGAAGTGTTGCAGCGTTTTGAAGGATTCCTGCTAAAGCCAAGATTTAGAAACTGAATTTATTTTTATAAGGGTTAGTCATTTCAAATCCACCGGAGGGAAACATTTCTAAATTATATGAGAGGAGACTAAATACAGCTCTTTGAGTTTATAGGTGAAAATACTACCCTGGACAGACAGAACATGTTATTGAGGTTTCTGCTGTTTACAATAAGCTGCACACCTCTGTTTTAGGGAGTATATTTACACAGAGATGGACATTTAATCTTCTCTACTGCCTGACCAACAGATTTCTAGCAAACTCAAGCTTATTTTCTCTGCACTGCAGTAAAACATCCTATAGAAATGCTTGAATATTCCTCACCATCTCCATTTCCTGTATTAATTTGCGTTTCCGTAGCTCCTCCATCCGTTCGCACACGTCGCTGAGTGAGGTGCCGTAGTACTGCGAGTACTCTTGAGCCAGGTCATCAAGGTTCCCCACAGAGCCATCCTGCAAGAGATACAGAAGCAGACGTCGTAAAAGAAAAGCCACCAGGATACAAAGGAACAAACCGCTGTGTAGACGCAGAGCAGCAGGGGACACCGTCTCAGCAGCGGCAACTGTCATGATAAGCCATTGTTTGCAACTTTTGCTCTGTCAGGAACGACACAAACAAGCAGGAAGCAGGGGAGATAAGCACCAGGAGAGCAGAAATCCCCAGGGGCTTCAAGCTGCGTCTTCACCGGCCTGTCATCTTCCTGCTCACTGATCCCTTCCCTCCTCAGACGTGACCCTGCAGGGGCAAGAGAGGCTCGGAGTGACGCAGCTTCGATGCTCACTTCGCTCTCCAAGTCAATGGGAACAGACTTAAGAGGCCATGGAGTAGTGCAGGCAGTCGGTTTGGTACAAACACCACTCATGGATGCTACTTTAGTTCAGCTTCCTTCAGTTGTGCAACTACAGTTATGGAGAAACTGACTGCATGATTTTAATCATCTGTTTAGGAATCAGAAATCATAATTCAAATCAAACTATATTTACCGTTTCATGCTATAAAAACTGCCCAAAAATAATACTTTAAGCAAGTAAAAAAATGGCTGAACTACCATCTCCAGTTTTTGATCATTTTAATATTCTTTTCCATCTGACCTGATTTGATCCGACTCCAGAAATTGACAACGATTAATACCAATTAACATGTTTTTAAATCCTCAGCATTAACAGTCTGATTAAAATAAACAAATTAACCATCTTCAAACTGATGTTGCTTACATCCTCAGTGAAATGTGCAAACAGAATTTGAGACTAACTTTTTTAAAGAAAGAAAATAATGTTTATGAACGCGCCACGAAACACAGAATCAGGACATCCTATTTATTTTGAACAAACCCAGATTCTCCATTTTTTTTTCCACCTTCACCTCCTTTCTGTCTTGCTGTACTCAGGCTGCCGTCGTTGAGCGGTAAAACTATGCAGAGAGCAGCTGAGATATTAGACAATAAATATTATGACATCCAAGTGTAGTGCTAAGGTTATGTAGCAGGAGAACAGCTGATCGAAGAGGTATTATTGAAATAAACCCCTTTTATTGAATACATATTTACTTTGAATGAATCCAGGAGGGAACCTTGGATATCCCTCTTCCCAACGACATCTAGGAGTCCAAGATGTTCTCAGACACAATCTAAAGTTATTGTTCCTTCTGGGTCTTCTCCAAGTGGGAAGTGGGTAGGGAAGGGGTGCACCGATTGATCGGCTGTCCAATTCCCTCCATTTTGAGAGATCTTTGATCAGATGTTACTTTGATGTAAAATCAATCTTATTTACCCCTCTAAAGGTCTAAAATCAGCCTCTTTCAGCGCCCTTTTCAATAAAGCAAGATTGGAATACTGATACTAAAATCAGAACCGGATTCTCTGTCTTTTGAAAGACAGCGATTGGCCAGTAAACTGCAACCAATTAACGCCTGAAATCCCAACTGACTCCTTTTAATGTGGAGAAGCAGCGGCTCTTCTTTGAGCATCTTCCTTCATCGTCAATACCTCGCCACCCGCTAAATGAAGCTCATTCGCACATATGCATGTCATTGAGGCAGAGACCAACCCCAAAGATTGTATCCAGGAGGCACGCCAGCCTCTGTTTTTTCGTCAGATATATAATCTCTCTGTTAATTTATCATGACAAACCCTCTAGGAGCAAAAATTCTGCACAACTTAACCCTAAGGAATATAGGGGGCCACAAAAACTTCCACCACTATAGGTCCGCAATTCAACAGAGAGCAAATGTCTAAACGTAAATAAAAAAAGTTCACCATGAAAATAAAGAATAAAAACAAACAGCAATGGGCTTTAAAGATGGAGCCTGAAAAAAGGTCCATCCAAAGGATTGATGGTAGGAAAGACGAACCGGAAGAAAAAAGGAAAGGAAGAGGGAAGGACATCATGAAGGAAGGGAGAAAGTTAGAAAGAAGAGCAAAGGCTGTGAGGTCAGCATAAAGAAGGAAATTCCTCCATAAGAAGGAAAAACAGGAAAAAAAATAAAGTAAAGTAGAGAGGGAAAAAATAGGGAAAACAGAAGAAGAAAGGAAGAAACTCAGGAAAGATCAGAATAGCAGAAAGACAGAAGGAAGCTGGAAAGATGCAAGGAAGTAAACAAGGGAAACAAACAGAATAGAGAAGGATGGAAAAACAGAGAAAAGGAGTGAATGAATACTAAGAGGGAATAAACCACTAAACATCTAGGGAAAGAGAGAAGGAACTTTTGGGTAATTGACCATAAAATAGGTAACGATAAAATGAGGTACGCATATTTAGTTCATAGTGAGACATTGGCACCTGGAAGAAAGAGAATACAAGATTATCCTCATGTTTGCATCTAAGCTTCTTTCCCAACCATCAATGTTTTAATGAAAGTAAACCTAATTAATCAACAAGATAAGCCAAGATTGTCAATCTACCACTGTTACAAAAGCTTTCTGTCAAATTTAAAGACATGCTTCTCTGGAACCCTTTGTCTAATTGTTCGTTTGCAGAAAATTACCACAAAAAAGTTTAATCTCTGCATTTCTGAATTCTGAAATCTTAAGTTTTTCCCTTTTATGGAGCCCTTCTTTATATAACTTTTCTCCAATTGATATGTATGTATTGTTAATATTCTGTATACCAATATGTCTCATTTTATTGTTATGGTTTCCACCAAGTCGTTACATATATCTGTTACTTCAATTTAGCTTCTTTGGAAATAGTTTTTGCTAAATGAAAAAAAAATGTGCATCAAAAGAGCAGTTCAGTGTTTGAGTTTTTAGTCTGAATAATGGAAGTTGCTTGTTTTGATGAATTTAATTAAGTTCCAGAATCTTCAGATCTTAACCAACCAACTAAACCATCTCAATAAAACATAAAAATCTCCAGAAAAGAGTCAAATTGGAGACTTTTAAGAAGAAAACCAAGGAGGCCATTTCTGCACCACATGCACACAAACACATGCTGGGTGTAATAAGCAGCTACTACACTCATAAACCGCTGCACAGATCATCATCATCATCATTATGCATCTCCCATACCCTGACGTTATGCAAATGTTCCTGCAGAGAACAGTCGTCTGCAGTGAAAAGCGAGACTCTTGGCTCCCTCGCCTCGTGTCATGACAATCTGTGACTGGGTCCAACTGTCCAGAAATAGAGGCCTATTCATTACAGTATACAGCATGAACCCGGGTATAAAATAGGCTGAAAATCCTGTCAGCTTTTCAAAACCAGCCAATAAATAAGACTAGAGGAGAGTAAGAAGCTGTGCCTGGCTGCAGCCACTCTTCTGCCTCCAGCTGCCACCGATTCACATAAGCAACCCCTTGTACCACAGCCACATGATACCGCAGCAGCCTCAGTGACTATCCGACATGGTTTGTAAATGCAGATCCCCATTACAATTGGATGTGCACACAGAAAACAAACAAGGATTAAACTCAAGCTTTGACTCTGTCTTCCAGTCTGCATCTTTATTTTCACGTCTTTCTGCTAATGGCCGGTGTTTGAGCCAAAGCTGAAGCATGACACTTCAGCTCCAGGGGCTTGAAAAGGAGAGTGTGGTGTCACATTTCGCAGCATCACAGAGAAACAAAAGATCCCCGTGCCCTGGGGGGCCAGGGTGTGAGTGTTTTTACAGCTCATCTGACCCGTCTTGAGGAACCAGGCCAAAGTCTCAGCAAATCATTTACTTCAGCATGTTAAAGACTTTGTTCCTGGGCTCAGTTTTAAAAGAACGGCTAGAAGATGACCTTAAAAACAGTTTACGGACAGATACAGGCTTGACCTCCTTCTTTGACAAAGTTGATTCAAAGAGTTACTGTAATGTAGCAGATTATGGAGTCCCTTCACCTGGAAGCTGAGCTGAAGAGAGTTAATTATTCCATATTACAGACTGGAGAGACACATTTCAACATGTAAAGGTCAAAAAAAGCACAAAACACCATCTTTATCTGCAAGCCGCTGTTTTAAAAAAATCTGATTTCCTCAATGAATCTCCAGATCAAACTGGGACCACATTCCAGAGCAAACATTAAAACTTACCACAGACAGACATCTGGCTGCCAACAACAGCTATCCAGCAGTGGCTCTTTAGTCCTCCCCCAGGTCTGTTAAGTGAAAGGCTCTGCTTGAAAACTTAACTCAGTTTGGAGAGCGGAGGACAATACATCCTGCAGCCAAAGGAGGGGAGGAGAAGGGAGCTCAATGCGCATAAATTAAACAGTCTGGCTGTGGGGAGGCTGGGGAATTTGCGACCACATATGACGCTGGTTGCAGCTGGGTGGAGCCCTCGACCCGCTCCAGCTGCGGCCCACGGGGGAACCGGCTGACTCACAGAACTGCTCCTCAAATAAACTACCAGCTCTAAGTGTATGAAAGTATAACTGCACATTAATGCCTGCAGTGGAATCAGTTTCACGGTTTGATTCAATGTTCAACCAGGCAGGAAATATGTCAACAGGTCTGAATTTTATTCTGTTACATATTGTGTAAAAGAAATTCTCTAGACTAAAACAAAAAAGTGAGATTTCTTCAAAAACCAAATAAAATAAAACAAACAACAAAGCCCAGGTTTTTGAGACGGCAACTGTTTGTTAGATACGGAACAAATGTTTTTATTTAATACAATATTTGCAGGTAAAGTGGGACTAATTCCTAAAAAAGATAAAAGATTTCTCTTAAAATCAAAAAGTTGCTTTCAGGTGAAACAGTTTGAAACACTTTACTACAATGGAAACCGCAACCTAACAATTATGGAAGATACGTCTTATCAAATTGATGCTGAACGACGGAACCATGGAGGTAACCAAAGGCATCTTTTATTTTATTTTATTTTTAGCTCAAACTTTATCATTCCTATGAGTTTCCTGCGATACGAGTCGTTTCCATCTATGGACCACTTAAAAAAATTAAAATGAACACTAATCCTGTATGATTATCTTTTTGAAAAGCTGGGGCAACAGCTTGTTTTTGAGCCATATGAAT